TTGCTGCTTCATTTGGGTCGGATAGATCCCAGCTCGCCATCTGATCCAACTGTTGGTAGGGGCTCACTTAGTTGCGCACGCGCTCCCAAAACACTTTAGCTTCTTCTTCCAGACGAGCAGAGAATAATCCTCCGTTCAGCCCTTGTAGTTCCCGAAATTTCACCTTGTGCGACGTGATAACTGATGCTGACAGCTTTAGCCTTCCCGTTTGCGACTTTAAACAATACAGATAATCAGAGGGTGTTCGTCATCCAAAGGAAGTGTTACCTTTGAGTAAGAACATTTTTGCCTCGGACGCCGATTCTTGGACAAAGATCAGAGGCCATATGTTGGTATAATTCTCTAATATGGAGGGAGAGTGCCTCAAACTAAAGACGAAATCGTGATGGCACAACATGAACAGCGGGATTGGCTTGGTCTCTTCCTTGATCCAATTATTTGATCCAGATGGAATGGGCAAGATGATTGAGGTTTTTTGGTCAACGAATTTGCGAGGTCCTCGTAAAAATGGTAGTTCGTTATCGAGATTTCCGGTCGTCGTTGAATAAAATGCCTGGCAAAGAGCCAGTGAAGCCCATCGATACTGTCGCCCTTAGCACACTTTACTAAAGATTTTTGAGTTCAAAAAATGAGTTAGAAGAGTAGCAATCTCACTTCGGATTGTTATCTTGGCTTCGCCGGCGTTCAATTCATTCTTTTGAACTCTCAGGTCATGCCAATCATCGGTGAGGCCGGAGACCATAACCTTCACGTTTTCTCGAGTCTATGCTCAACATTAGCACAAGAAGCAAAGTACGCCTCGAGATGATAGATACCCACTATTGCCTCCTCGAGCTTTTCTGTGGCTACTCTGAGGACTTCTTGCTTCTTGAAATCCTTACGTTTCGCCTCCTCCCAACGATCCTCGTATCTACGCGGCAAGCATTGACGCAGGCTCTTGAATGGGTCAGAAGTATCGTCTTTGGTTGTTCTGCTTATCCGTTCAAGGGTATCTTTTGCGCTCTTGAACTGAACGGTCTGACCACAGTTAGGTCAGAGTTATTTTGCCATTGAATACGAAGAGTGTTCCTCACCGTTAATGTGAGATCGCCTTCGAGTTCCCGACAAATTCTTATCGTCAAGACCGCTTGATTGAAGTACCTATCGGTTCTCGCTACGTGTGGCAAGAGACTGCCTAAGTTACAAGTTAGCGGGGGCATGAAGGTGGAGAGTGATAATCAACGTGGGGTCAACATGTCGCAGATACGAAGATGAAAGTAATGCTGGGATCGAGCCTTGCCGCAACTGTGCGGCAGCCTCGTGCTGACAAAATTATTGATTGACTTTGCATTTGTTCGCGATTACGGCAAATTGTGATTGAAACGCTGCAATTAGGTTCTTTACGTTCCTTTGTTTAGTGAGCTACATTCTCGCCGGTTCTGAGCGGTTCAGCACTGGTACATTGAGTAGAAGACGCTTATAGTTCGATCTTTCTGAGCACCACGGAGCCTCAGGTCGCATGTAACCGGTTAGAGCTTACATTTCCTCGGCGGTGACTACGATAAAGCAATAAGGGAAGATACAAAGAAGAGGAAGGAAGTAGAAGAGTACGGGCTTATGAATTATGTAGGGTGTGAGCGTAGAATACGGAATTTGCCGAAGATACCACAATGAGTAACCGCCGTTATAGTGTGTGTAGTATGGTCAACCGAACCAACCTTTCCACACCAATGCGTCCGTTAAACAAAAAGCGCCTACATGCCTCCCCCTTCCCAATGCTCTATCAAAATCGTTGCGACAGGTAGGAACCCGCACAAGCACAGTACCCCAGTGACTATATATGTGAATAGCTCTTTGTCCTTTAAGAATGCATAAAGCAGAATCTGTGAGCACAGACACAAATAGCCCATAACGAGGAAAGCGCGCCCTGGTTATACGGTGTGAATGGATTGAAAGTGAATAGGATCAGAACCTACAGTAAAAATAATACACCCTGAAGTAGCCACGATTCCCTATGCGCGCTCCAAACAGGTCGAGATCGGAGCGGATGTTAGCATAAAAACCGTTTTCTGGATCACGAACACCTTTCCGAGTCGCAGATCTTCGGACCATATCGCCAAGTTTGCCGATCAATAGCAACGTTGTGAACGTAGCGCCCACATTTAGATAGAGCGAACCATAGGACACGGCATTGAGGGCTTTCGCAAGTTTGGCCTCTCTTCCTGCGGATGGCTTAAAGTTGTCATCGGCTTTGTAGGTTTGAAGCAAAGTAGCTGATAGACTGGCAAGAAGGGCCGTCTGCGAGAGTGATTGAAAGATTGCTCAATACATCCAACTCGTTTAGGAGACGCACCACCACGGCTGAGCTTTGAAGAGAAAAATCCCATGAACCCTTGAGACTGTTTACCAAGGGCGGCAATTCATCTGAATATCAAAGGTCAGATTATGAATTGAATATAATCTTTGTACTTACAGGTCAGGTCGAGATCATATTGGTCCGCACGAGGACGTTGCTGGGTAGTCGACATTGCAATAGAGGAACTGAGGTGCACTGTTCTCACCTATATACGCTGCGACGTGCGTTACGTGGATCATAATTTATCGAAGGAGACAAAGATGGTGGCCCCATGAGACATGTAAACGTTGTATCCAGAGTATTCAGATGTCGCACCTGACCTCACAAGCTCTGACTCTTTGCTTCCGATCAAGCCCTCTGTCACAGAACGACAACTCGAACGAAAGGTGGATCGGAGACACATCGGCGACACGACGGCGAAGAGCAGAAACTCAATGGTCACCCGCGGAGCAATGATCAGGATGAGGATCTAAGCAACAAATAACTCAGGTAAGCTGGTTCTCCCCACGCCCGTGGGGTACACAATCCGACCATCTTCTCTTTATTCGATGTTTCTCGGAGGGTAACGGCACCCTACACGTACCTCACATGTAAATACAGTGAGAGTGCTATGATCTGCCAGCGGCATGGAATGCTAAAATACCGCTCACATTCGTTACAGTCACTGACCTTGACTACTCCACGAGGCTGAGGAGATACTATAGACAGTTGATGATGTCTTCATATACCTCAGTACATGAGCGGTATTGTCGAGGGTTCTGATCCATGCGCTTTCGTGTTGGAAATAATGCTGCTGTAGGTCGTGACATCTAATATCAAGTAGCAAGGCCGTGAATAGAATCAAAGCGCGGGCATCCAACGAGATAGACATGGGCGACGACGAAGGGAAAATATTAGCGCCAATCGTAGGCTAAACCACTCGAAAGGACAACTGGCCTCCCATCCAGAGACTGGCAGACGAGACTATCCGAGCAAGCTGGTACCCACTCGAGTGGTGACTATTAGAAGGTTACACGACCTTGTACCATTAGCGTCGTACCTGGTTAGCTGTGTCTGTGATAAGGTCGACAACGACTCCCGCATTGCCACTGTTTCATGAGGGCCTAAGCTTAAGGCTTGTATGTCAAATTATGCAAACAACAGTTTGAAACCACGGAATCATCCTACGGTCATACTGAATGCCGTATAGCAACCATCCCCCATTTTATGCACTAGGGGACCAGCTCCGACCCTTTTGAGACTACGATCTGATTCCTGAGAACATAGGACTGTGTCAGGTACTGACCTATTCCACTCAATTCATATGGTCACAGGTCACACCCATTCTCGAAAACCCCGCCGATAATTTTTTCTCAATTTATTGGAATTTCTGGCGAAAATTTTATCTCGAAAATGGTCACACGCCATACGAATTGAGTGAAATAGGTCGGTACCCAGTCAGGAAGGATGGCAAGCGCCCAAAAAGCGGTGTTCAAGGGCCCATTAAAACTACATGAACGTGTAGAAATGCGAGGCAGAGACGGGGTCATAGTGGTAGGATAACAGGAGCATTCGAAACATGGCTAATAGTTTGACGAGGCATGAGTATCACGCATGAAAAAACTCACTCTGATTGATTTGGATCGCTATTCCTCTTTCTCCTTAGGGCCGTTAGTACTAACGCCACCGCTGTCGACGATATTCATCCCGCACCGAGTAGCCGAATTCAGCCTTGCCATTTCCCCAATCAGAACGATTGCTACACTCTCTTCATACGAGCTACACCATTCGACCACGAGTCCCGTCTTACTCCGTCTTCAAGGCGCTTATAACCTGAATTGAAATTTCCCCCGCATGTTTCCTTGCGTGACTATGCTCAAGTTCCCTGTCAAGATCCCTGTAAAACTTATGGAACATCATGTCGAACGTAGCTGAGAGCATGTGCAACTGCCTTCCAATGAGGTATGAGCGCCGATGAGAGGGGAAGGACCGGTTTGGCACGATCGAGGAGAAGATGCCGTGGGCAACAAGAACCCGATGTTTCCTTACAATGTTCAGTAGAGCCGTTGGGGAGGGTGTGATACGTGTGTTTTCCTCGATTACTCTCATTACGATGAGAAGTAGGAAGGCTAGTATTGGTGAGCTGTAGTCCACTGTGCTTGCACTGGGACATTGTTTCCGTTGGCTGAGTCGTCATGAATAAAAGCTCAGAGTCGATAATATCCGTGAAACTTGTGTGACTGAGATATTCTTCAATATGAATCAATCTTCGAAATTGTACGTCAAAGACTTACCTACTCCTGATGACTCTCGGAGCTGACTCGTACCCCAACGGTGGTTGTACGGCCTTGCACGATTCATCGGTAAGTAACAATTCTAAGACTTGCACAGAGAACTTGATATATACCCAGGTTAGTATCTTTGAGTCTCCGAGACCTCTCGTATAATCAGGACAGTACGACGGGCACTGTAGCTCGCGTCTCAGGTTGCTCAAAAAGCGGAAAAAACAACTTCAATGGCTGGGCAGTGGTAACTACTTCTCCATTAGAAGCTTTGGGTTTTCCGACTTCAGCGATATCAGAAACTCAAGAGTTGGAATCCTGGTCTTGATATTGAAAATGGATTGGACGAGGGAAAAGCTCACAGAAAAACAAAAACAAAGAATTGGACGAGATTCGTGTGATAGTGGGGATACCGCGGATCGAACGCGGGACCTTCAGAATCAACAAGTAATCCTTGATACTTCAGTCTGCTGCTCTCCCAGCTGAGCTATATCCCCTGGGCTTGAATGGCGATGAATGGTTAATAACGCCCGTGGACCTAATGCAAGGTTTATGATCACCGCCTCAGAGACATATAACGAATCGAATATTTGAATAGACGAGATATATTACGACTCTGGAGAATGTATATGACCAAAGAACCGAGAACAACAGACATCACGAGTAAGACAGTATAGGCTTTAGCCAGCTTTCGCCGAAGACTGGTCTGCCCAGACAAACATGCCAGGGACAAAACGAAGCCGTGAAATCTATGAAAGAGCTTTTGGTATCCGCCTCTCACTCCGCAGCACGACATCGAGTATCGTCTGACGATGTACGTTTCTCCGAGTCTTCCCACCTACTGTCGAAAGGCATTCTATTCAGCGCAAAGACACGAGATCATCGGGATACCGGACACTTACCCGAGGTTTCTGGCATGGTGGGTCAGCACCATTCCGGTCAAGATGGATTAACACAAGGGAACGAGCGAGTACTGGGGATCGGTGGCACGTATGCGTCGCGTCTAGTAGAGAACATATGAATTTTGGCTCATGGAAGGGACGTGAAACACGCACCCCTTAGTCAATTGGTGGTCAAGGAGTTATTCAAGATCTCCGCCCCCTACTCTCGCCATTGAACTCTCCCTCCTCCGTTGCAATTACATACGATTTCAAGCCAGCCAATTCGCTATATCTATAGAGGCGAACGGATCAGTTGAATGATTACACGAGATGACATCGATACCCACCTATCAATCCGAAATAGGACCGTGGTTGGTGTCTTGCGCCGCCGCGTGAAATGCACCTTTTCGCCATCGAAGGCCGTCATTTTGAAGCGTCGAGGGCTCTTGACGAAAAAATGGGAGAGGTGAGAATCAGATGATGTAGGGGCGGAAATTAAGTTTGAGCGGAGTTGAAAAGGAAGCCGCCTCGAGGCCATTTCGTCACTCGTGAGTCGTAGACCAGGATCAGAGCCCCACGCTCCATGGCCCAAATCGCTTTGGAAGATGTCGATGAGTCTTCGTGGAAGCCGACCTCGATATGAGTTCAATTCCATCCCTGTTCAAAATAGTGGACAACAAGGATCTATGAATGCCACTAGGCCCTTCGTGCTTCACTGACCTTGGAATCAAAAGTAAACGGAAAACGTCATTTAGAGCTCAGGTATATTACTGGACACACTGGGAATTGAACCCAGCACCCCCCGCATTACATTCAAGCTGGGCCTTCCCATCATGCTAAGCGGATGTGATAACCAACTACACCATGTGCCCATACTTAGCTTCAATCAGAAGCGTGTGATGGAGAGCCACGAGCCTGCTTGTACACATTCTACTACACTTTCCTGACGAGACGACAATATGTATCCGCTCGGCAGGGCGTCAACGCTCAAAATTCCGACTCTCGGTCTCCATCCGCAGGGCAATTTTTACACTCACAGACCCCAATTCAACACGGCTGATCAGACGGGGCATGGATATATATACTCCTGAAAATAAATAGAACGATGGGGGACTGGGCCAAACGATTGGCTGCAGGATATATGGCCATATATTCTATTGTTAGGCTCTGGAGTCACCGCTGTCATATTCAGGAGAATTCACCCGGTTCACGGCAGTGTGGCCAGAAGAAAAGAAAACAACAGCAGCTCGAAACGGTTCGTAATCCTCGCAGTCGATGCGATTGAATCAAATAGAGACAGGTGGGCTTCGGGAATTGCTCCAGGCTTTTGGGCGCAAGGATATCAGAATGGGACGCGGTGTAATTTTCCCGCCATACTATATTTACCTCCCCCTGACATTCAAGTATACCTCCCGCCTGATGTCGAGCCTCGACAAACAGCAATAGAACGGAACCGAGGGTACGAAGCGGGAAACAGCAAGCTGGTAATAAATCAAGTGTGCGGAACTGAAACAAATGCCATCCTCCCCCCACATTGAGTGTCCAACGTTTATATGAAGTCCCCATCATTGCGGGATTTCCGGCGGCCCCCCATATCTGTATGTCCCTATTGAGCTTTCCCGCTTTGACTTGATCTACCGAACGCACATCACGGATGTACATGTGGGTGATAGATTCCATCAATAATACAACGCTCGATTATTCAGTCCCCGTACTAACGTTACTGTGGCCTAGTTTGGCCTCGAGCGTCTCCCCGGTACCGATGGGTATAAAAAGTCCTCTGTGCAAGGTGAATCCTACCAGAGCTCTTCTCCAGTTCTATCTCTTCTCGGCCTCACATAACCAACCATGCAACTCACCTCTGTCTTCACTACCCTCGCCGTTCTCGCTGCTGCTGGCACCGTCATGGGCGAGCGCCATACCGTCACTATGGTCAACCGGTGAGCAGCTCGTCTAGCAGCCATCATCGTTCGACCCCTCGATACTCATTACTTTTTATCCTCACAGTTGCGGTCGTGGTACTCCCCAACTTATCCGTGGACCCAACGTCTTGTCGTCTGGAGGATCCTACACCGAGAACGGCGTCCTCGCCTCAGCGATTGCCTACCTCCAAACCGGCAACTGTCTCTTCAATGGCGGTGAGTGATTACATCTGAAATCATGACGGGGAGAGATGAGATGTTGACTAAACTCGGGTACAGAGAACTGTATGACTGCTGAGGTACGTTCTGATCTTTGTGGCGAAGATATCAAACTTAATAAATCCACGCAAATAGCTTACCTTGAAGAACGCAAACCCTTCTCAGCCTGGGTCGGGATCTAGTGTCAATCTTTCTTTGATTCCACCGTGAGTTTTGTCTCCGTCTGATTCCACCAGCGGGACTCACTCATCGGAATCAATTCTCTCTAGCCACGCGTTCAACGTCCCGATTGCCTTGAAATACACCGGGTCTTGTTCCAACGGTGTTACCTGTATGTATTTTTTTTGGCCATCTATTCTATTTAGTTTCTGACGAGATCTCCACCCGATATCAACACTCATTAGGCTCCAACACCAACTGCCCTACGACGGACGCGTTCCGTGTCCCTTCCGACACTCAAGCTCAACGTGCTTGCCAGAACAACGATGTGAGTTATCCGTTCGGCCTATTCGATTTTGTTGAGACTAACCACCTGTTTGGGTAGGTCAACTTGGAGATCACTTTCTGTCCTTGAGTTTGAGTCGGACAGCTTGAATACATCGGCTTTGGGGTGGGAATCTGCAACTAAATGGCTAAAAAAAGGATAGGAAATCAAGTAGTTTTATGTATGGTTCAATCAATCACAATGGGTTTTTCGTTAGTTTCAGAATCAAAAGTACTCTGCGCTTATGAGGGGATGACATTGAGATTTGTCGATACGCGGACAACTTGATGGGAGCATCGTCCCACGGTTTCGGACTTTACGGAGTGCTGATGTGGACCTCCGTCCATTCCTGGACCAATCTATAAACAGCTAACTTACCAGTCCCAATTGAATCTTCCAGCAGACCGAACATTGACATATGGGGATCACTAAAAGCTGAAATCCCGAACGTTTGATAGTGAGCACAAATACTTGCTTCCCAAATTCAGGCTCAAATAGATTATACAAGTGTTCCTCACGGGCTTTGGATAGCACCGTAAGTAGGCTTTCGAGGCAATATTATTGAAAAAGAAAATGATACAAAAATTTACGACTGGATCACAGCTAGCCCAATAATTCTAGCAAGTTTTGTGATTTTTCGTGCTCAGGATTTTTGTTTACTGTATAAACACAATGTTATTTCCTACTGAATGTGAACTGAATGAGCTCCGTAGGTGCTAGTGGGGCCTATTACCCTCCCACACCACAACTGTACTGAATCAGGTCATATTTAGTTTGATCACTAAACAAAAATCCTGAGCACAAAAAACCGCGAAACTTGCCAGAATTGTTGGGCCAGCTGCAAACAGAACTCGAGTAAACACGTCTCCGCAAAGTCCCAAACCTCAATCAGCTCGAGGCCCGCTTTCGTGCTAGAAATAAATGTGGTTAGCCTACTGAGTGTGAGATTGATGAGCTCAACTGACCCAAGTGCCACATACCCCTCACATGTTCTCTCGTGGCTGTTGCACGTTGCTGGCACATTCTGCGATCCGTTAGTACGATGTCCTGGTTTTAATGCCGGATATTACCTGTTCCGTAGTTGGAAAGTAGTGGCGCGGGGCCTGAAGGTTTTATGAATGGTCAGCGTCCCCTAGATTTACCATAAGGCAAGGGTCGAGCACACATTCTCAATCCCGACTTTGTTCGAGTCATTAGTGCTGTTTTCTAAGTAGATGTGTTTCAAAATAAGCTCGTCTTCAAAAAGTGGTGAGATTAGGTACTGGAAGATTTCGGAAGATGACTTACGGATAAGCAGACGGCTTTGCAGCGTCATAGTGCTGGCTAAATTGCGGAGAATTGTCATAGCATCCGAGTCTGGCCAGTCGTGTATTACTGACCTATTTTATTCAATTCGTATGGGGCTTTCGGTGTGACGAAAATTTTTGCCGGTGCAAATTCGTCTAGTGGGCAAGTGACTGGTGACAAGAATGAAAATTCGTATGAAACTTTCAGGCCACCGGTCACTAGGAGAGAACGAGCGAAGAGGACGACGACGGGTGTGGCTGCCGCAAGCAGAAATCCGCGAAAAACACCTGATTAGGGCCAAAAAATCCTGGAAAAGGTAAGTTTCTCGCCTTTTTTTGAGCGTCTCTGAAATTTGTCACATGTTGAGACAATTTGTATGACCACCCTGTGACTGGGTGACCATACGAAAAATTTTTGTATGCTCAGGGGCCTGTGACGTGTGATATACAAATTGAATAAAATAGGTCAGTACGTGCTTCATCTATGCAGAAACAAAGTGAATAAAACCTTTACGAAGAAGGCGCCAAAAACAAACAAAGTATATATCCTGAGTCCTGACCCACAACGGGTGCTTGCTGTAAGAAGTTGACGGGAACGAATCAGACCTATTCAGCATTCAATGCCTCTGAAGGTTTATTGGACCATAGCTGAAAGGCATGTCAATGAATGCTCTGTGAATTAGTATGCTTTATACGTACTATTTTGCTTGTTTCAGCGGTCCTGGAAGATCTTGTAGGGTAATGGATAAGTGGGGGTGCGCCTTGGCTACTGCTAGAGGTACGGTTCCGACTCCTGAGCCCACATCGCAGAGGGTTGTAACCTGAGGCATCGTAGCCCACGGGTGTTACGAATCCACCTATTGTTTTCCCTTTCCTTGGTCCCCAGGTACTTTTTCCTCATGTTTTTCTCTTTATTTCCCATGGTTACATGCTCTCACCATTGCATTCTGGCCCCCATATCATTACCTGGTACTACCTGGTGTTCCACATTGTTTCCAGATATTTTCCCAGCATACCATATGGTTTCCACTATGACCCTGTTTCCACATGTATCCCTTGATTCTTATCATTTGTTCTTTCAGTTTTCCTCTTTTACCTTCGCTCCCATGATATCTCTACAGCTTGGTTCTGTCATATATAATCATGGACACTTCTAGATAGTCCCCCAGTCTGACAACTTCATCTCATAGTGCCTGTATCCAGCATGTACTATCTTACACTTGCCTTACTCAAATCCATCTTCTCTACTTCGCACTCTTGACCCTGTTGGTGGCCTGAGGGGTTTTCCTAGTCACTGGCCTCGTTCTTGACAACGGGAAGTCTGGGCAGCTCAGGTAAGGGACATGATTTAAACTGAGGGCAAATGAACTCACTGTCCGCAACTGATATCTCTCCACTGGCCATACTCCACCCTGACATGGCTTTATCGGAACGCAAGGGACGTCAAAATTAGCTCAAGTGCTCCCCAAGGATACGAGAGCCTAGTGCAAACCTGTGCCACGTCCGGCTTGTGAATGAGGATACAGATATCATTAGTTTCGTTTCAATGTGGACAATCTTGAATCACTAGACCTACATGAACCTTGCACCAGTCAAAGAACGAAGCATCCTTCACCTCTCTATGTACTGCGTACGAGAAAGCGGTCTTATCAACCGCGACACTCGCCCCATATTCCGGGTCGACGAAGGCCTCTGGAATAGAATTAACGCCCTGTAAGACCTTCCTGGTGAGCAATACAACAAGCGCCGACACGGGATTTGAGCTCAGGAGCATGAGAGACAGCCGTGTATTTGCGAAGGTGTTGTCTGACACTAACACAAAAAGAGTTTCCCGCAGTGAGATTCGAAGATAGCAAATCCTAATAAGACGAATACAACACCTTCTTTGAAACATCCTCGGGTCGCAAGGAGGCGTAGAACCTGTCTGAGTTTGTTCGTGTCGAGGGAAGCTTCGGCCACGA